TAATGAATAAATAATTATGTCCCTTCAAAAGGGACATAATTGATCTGCAAAATTTTATATACTAAATAATTTAGGGATCCATCTTTATCTTCAGGGTTCTTGATTTTTCTCTTGGAGGAAGAAATTTTTTTGATTTTCTTATATGATAATTTTTTGCCAATGTGGATATATGTGGAAGAAAGTTTTTTAATTCTTGTAATTTTTTTTTATTGATTTTATTATATTATAATTAATTTCAAATTTGCCTGATACTTTTTATTTAAAAAAATTGTTAATAGTTTTATTATTAGTGTTAAAGTCAAAAAGTAATAGAATTTTTTTATAGATAACTTGATTAATAAGTTTGAAAAAGTATTTATCTTGCCAATTGGAAAAGTTATTAAAATTAAGTTTATTTTTTTATATAATGTTTTTAAAAGTAGTTATTAATATAACAATTTCTTGGATTATACTGGAGCTATTCTTGAGCTGTTTATTTTATCATAAATTTTTTGAGAAATCAATTGTTGAACTGATTAAGCTAAAAACATTTTTGTTATGACTTTTAGGTTTGTTATAGAAATTTTCAATTATTTTTTCATATTTGTATAGAATTCTTCAAGAGATTCTTGTTAAGTTTGAGCTAATGTTTCACAGATTAAAAGTTGTTTGAGCTTTTTTAAACCTGGATCATTTAATCTAATATAAAAAAAGAAAAGAAAAAAAATGATATTAAATTACAGATTTTCAAAATTATCTGATATCGATATTGTAATACACAAATAATAGATGTTCATTCACCTATGAAATACTATTTAAATGATCTTCACAAGATGCTAATGTTTGGTAGTGATTAAGTCATCATCTATCTTGTACTGACACGATAAAGTTAAAAACATTTTCTAACAAATAAAACTTTATAAAAAAATACGAGTTCACTTTTTGAAATTGATCTAATCTTCAATAATCCTTTATTCAATTTCAGAATTAGAATAGGATTCATCGAGCCGATCGTGCTTTTTGAAATGGTGTTTCGAAGCTTATGCGAGTATATGATTCCAATTTACTCGAACTCAACCTTCGTTAAATGTGCACCATCATATAACTTACTAGTAAAATTAATAATCAATCATACGTCACCCACACAAAGATGGAATTGCTATTATCTATAAGTATGCGTGATCACTTTCTTCTGCACAATTCGGCACAAACAAAATTCGTACTATACTATATATACATTACATAAAATTTCAAAAAGTAATCTCTCTAACTAATTTTCATGCAATGAATTAAATACATGTAAGTGATAAATTTATAGATACCATGCCTTCCTTCCTTCTAAAATAAAATCACACCCGATTAAATATAATAATTAAAATCCCAAAGAAAAATAGCATCTAATCTTATCAGAATTGTCCTTTTCTTATTTTGCGCACTTCACCAGTATCGGTTAGATTGGTAAAATGCCTGAAGCTTGCCTTGCAATCATCCGTGAACCATACGATAAGGTACTGATTCCCCCGGGCAGATATGAAACGACATACCTGTTGGCAGTTAAAGGAGTTAGATTATTTTGTAGATAAATTTTTGTTTAATAAATCTTATAGTTTACCATATGAGAGCAATCACTTGGATGACACCAAATATCAGGGCAAGAATAGTGCTTTTCAGCTTTAAAAAATGAGAAGATGTTAGATTAGTAGTTTAATTGCATCATCTTTTCAACGGCAGGAATTTTACATACTCCTAGTGAAAAATACAATGTCGCGGCCATGGAGACAAAGTAAGCGATTGTGAAAGGCAACCGTTCACGAGATGACACATGTCGAAGATGAGCCACTGGGCCATGCAACAAGGCAAAACTATAATTGCAAAATTATTAACTAGAAGCCATTTTACAAAGTCAAAGTGATGGTTTGTAAACCATTACGAACCTTGATAAAATTAGGATGCTGCCCATGGTAAAAGTCACAGCAAATTTCGCCGGTCTTAGTACCATCATCGGTAGAGTCATGAATGCCTTGTAAAGAATATTACAGTTCAGTGTTTTGTAAAGTATAGAACGATTGAAAATGATGTGATAAATGTGATCGTCTTACGATTAATAGACAAAGAGCACCGGCAGCGAGTAACACACCAAATCCTACAAGTCGCTATATTAAAGTACGATTAATATAAAGAACAGGTTCAGGATAGATGCTTAGGTTCTTTCTAACCAACCTGCCATCTGCTCAAAGCAAACCATTCTTCTTCTTCTTCATTGCCATTTGCCAAAGGTACATATCCTCGCACTCGATTGCCAACATTTTCAAAGAAATTTGAAGTATTCTCTGATATTCGGGCGAAAGGTGTTTTATT